TCGTGGAGTTAATAACTCACAAATGGCAGACTGAGATAATGAAGAGATTGAAGAGATGATACTAAACCTAACATGTTTTCCAATTCCAGTTCATGTAAAAACTAGAAGAAATTGACGGAAAGTGCTCTGTAGAAATAAAGTTGTTGTTAGTTGCACTCCGGTTGATTCTGACTTATGGTGACCCCATGAGTGCAGAGTAGTACTTCTCCCTAAGGTTTTCACGACTGTGACCATTAGGAAACAGATCACCAGGCCTGTCCACCAAGGCTCCTCTGGGTGGGTTGGAACTGCCAACCTTTATCGGCCAGTAGTCCAGCACTTAACCATTTGTGCCACCCAAGGACTCATGTAGAAAAAATACAGATGCCTAAAAGAATTATTCCAAAATGAGGCTTAATGAAAACAGGTCTGGGAAAAGTGTTGTCAAAATTTTAAATACCATGTTTCAAAATTTTAACATTTTTTCTTTTGTTATAATATGGGTGAGCTGAGATGAAATTTCAAAAGGCCTCATAAATTGGTGAATACAGTTAGGTCAGGAGACAGCCAGGGTAAATTTTTGGTTCACTTGGACATTTAGTCTAAATGTTGTATGATATGAAAGCAGAAACACAACACAACACTTTTCAGTAGATGGTCCCCTCTCGTCTTATGATTCTAGAAAAAATCCACGGGTTTAGAAAATAAAAAATTCTTATGTCAATATAGTTTTTTTTCACTTTATTCAATATAACTTATTATTTTATGAATTTAAACAAATGATAGAAGGATTTTCACAACTATATTTAGATAAAATTTCATCAGTTACTTATCTTATGATTGTCTTCAATTTTTAGGAAATGATTGTGTTTATTGACAGGAAATCAACCAGATGCCAAATAACAATCCTTGTGCTTTTAGCACCGTATTATTGTAAGCTGTACTGAAACTGAGCAACACTCTAGTTTGATAAAGGGAATGCTCTACTTTAGATATGATGTCAAAAATTTGAAGCCAAAATTATAAATAAGAATGATTAATGAGTATTGTTTTAATCACTGAGGTTTTACTGAATTATGCTGTTGTTAGGTGCCGTCGAGTTGACTCTGACTCACAGCGACCCTATATACAGCAGAACGAAACACTGCCCGTGTTTAAACACTAAATTATAGCTTTTATCAATTACACTCTTGAACTTAAATTACTTTTATGTTTATTATTTGCTGATAATACCTAGAGTTTTTACATGTAATTTATTGTCATTTGAAAGGATGTCATTTGATAGATGGCTAAAATTTCTAAAATTCTTGAATTCTTTATGATAAAAATACAATGTTATTTTTTAAAACTTCAAAGAATGTTTTATTTTATTATCATTTAAAGTGTTGGAAACAATTCATTTTAATTAAAATGATATTTTAGTATTCTCTTTAATATTCTGATAAAAAAGCCAAAACAAAGCTAAAATTCTTTAACATTTTAAGGTAGCAATGTTAAAGGAGAGGCTAAATACTGTGTTTTGAGTATATGAGTGCATTTTATGTGTTTAAATCTTTCTTTGGTCTTTCTGTGTATCCCTTTGCTGCCTATCAGAGTATTAGCAAGCATTAAAGCATTGAAGAGTATTAGTAAAACATTAAAACAAAAACGAGAGAAAGCATATTCATCAAGTGCTCGAGATTAACTAATGAAGTATTGATAGATGTGTTCAAAATTACTCCTGACCAAAGAAAATAAGTTTTATTTTATTAAATGCATCATGTATCCTCTTCATTAATTTTTTCTTGTATATATATTTTAAAAAAGAAGAAAGAGAGAAGACGACATGAGTGTATTGGCATTCTTCTAAAAATGTACTTTTTTTAACGTGTGAATGTACCTTGTTTTGTGTAAAAGTTCGTTTCTTGCAGCTTTTAATTTTAATTTTAGTGATCAGAGGTACAGAAATGGAAAGTTCTTGGGTACAAACAATGATCTTGTTTGTATTATTAAGCATATCTCCACTTTCCTGTCATCCTTTGATAAATGACAGTGGCAGCCCCATTAGGCATTTTTAGACCTTTATAAAAATAACTAAATATACAGTTACTTTTCTGAACATCAAAATGTACACTATGTTCATTATAAAACTAAACGCATGTTTAACAAAAGGAAAACTGCTACCTCAATAATTACTTAAACGTTCTGATTAAAAACAAGTAATTAGTATCAATTTTTAGCTTCTTTAATTACATAAGGGACGTATTTTTCAATTTAGAATTTGAGAATATTTCCTTTTCTGATGTTAAATGATACATGTATTAACAACTGTCAGCTTCTCAATGTGGGGATATAGTAGCCAGGAATGGCTTTGACTTACAGTTTATAGTGTTAGATTAACCATAAAATTGATTATGCCTATTAAATCAGACCACGATGCCGTTTTAAAGATAATCGTGAGTCTAAGATGACATTAAACACTAGAAGTTAAAAATAAATGAATTCAGACATGATTAGATTTTTATGAAATACTAAGGAGAGTATATGTAAAAACAGCTATCTTTCTGCTAATTTTCCATCCAGGTCACACTTCAACCCGAACCCTAAATGTTGAGCCCTGTGAGCGGGCTAAAACAGACAAAGATAAAATAAAGTTTTATTAAAAACTTATTTATTCTAACCATATATCTGGACAACATGCCAACAAATCCAAGGTTTCTTGGTAAAATAATAGATGTATTCATTGATTTCTAGCAACACACATAACTGTTACCAATTTTCATAATTCCTGAAATCAAATTTCTAAATGAAAACACTAGATTCTTAAGAAGTAGAGACACTCAGATTGAAATATGTGCATTAATATTTTTAAGATTAAGATATTGTTTACCTTGATTCCTAAAATTCAAAAGAAAAACTAGTTAGTGAAGATAAGACATTTAAAATTTCATTTCTATATGTAAGTGTAACTTCACCAAGATTAGTACTAAATAACAATGAGGGTGAACTGATTTCTTTTTACTATATTAGAAGTAGAGTTAGCTGTTAAATATATTAATAATAAATACTTGTATTTATTTATAAGTACAAATTTTAATTACTCAGGTTCCTATGTCCTTTGACTTTTTCCCTCTAAATTATTGATAATGTAGCTCTATAAAGGTATATTCTTAGCTTAAGTAAAACAATAGTGAGAAAATGCTGCCTAAAATTTGAAAATGTTTGGTTTTTGATAATAAATAAAATTCAAACATCCAGAATGCAATTTGAGAGGCAAAAAGTATCTCATAGTTCTCATTTATTAAGAAAATTAGAATTTAGGCTACTTTAAATTGCTGGTGTATGTAGATGGACGTCTGCTAAACTCTAGGAATTTAGCATCTAAATTACATCTTTGTTATTATGTTAGATATTTATACATTTATTTTCCTTAAGCATTTGTGCTCTCCTTTTATTTTATGACTTTAAAAAATAAAACAATACAAAAAATCAATGATTTATAGGAAAGCACAATTATTGGGATCTGAAGCCTAGACTAGCAGTCATGGGCTCAATGCATTCAATTCATGCCTTTCATATGATGTAATAATAATAACTAAAGTATATATTCTTCTAGTGTTTGTCTTTAAGTATTTTTTTTTCTCTTTTCCTCTCCCTTTAGCATCATAAAAGAAATGATACAGTTCTAATATCTCACCTTTCTAGCTTATGGTCTCATGACGTTTTGCACTAGAAGATGAAAGTAAGAAACACCACGTACAGTGAATTTGCTGTATAAAATTCATCATCTGTTTAAGCTGCTATGAGCTGAATCTTCATCACATATTAGTTTATGTGGCTTGACCAAGACACTGAATTCTCAGTAGTATCTATCAGTTACCTAAAAGGAAAAGATTGCTATGTAGCAGAGAATAAATGGAATAATTCTGTTACCAAGATCCTCAAAAGAAAGATACTACAGAACCTCAAAGTATTTTTATTGTTAACAGTGGTTGTATAAAATAATCCACCAAGAGAATATGGTTCCAATATTGAAATAACTGAGAGCAATTAGCAACATCTCTATGTTCCAGTTGCCATCGGGTTGATTCCGATTCATGGCAATCCCATGTGTGTCAGAGTAAAACTTTGTTCCACAGGGTTTTCAAAGGCTGATTTTTCGGAAGTAGATGACCAGGCCATTCTTTCGAGTCATCACTGAGTGAACTTGACCCTCCAGACTTATGGTTAGCAGCTAAGCATGTTAACCCTTTGGACCACCCAGGAACTGTCTCCATGTTAGAACCCATTGATGTTAAGTGGATTATAACTCATAGCAACCCTGTAGGACACAGTAGGACTGTTCCATAGGGTTTCCAAGGCTACAGTGTTTACGTTACTTCTTTTTCCCGGAGCTGCTAGGTGGGTTCGAACAAGTTAGTTAGCAGCTGAGCACTTTAACCACCGCACTACCAGGCCTCCTTTCTATGTTAGAAGAATCTATTATTTTAAATAAATGAAGAATATTCCTGTTTTGAAGTATTTCTATCACTCAGATCCAGTAATTCTGATCAGGGACTTGCATACATACTAACACATGACTAACTCATTTTAAATGGTCAAAAAGATGTCTGTATTGTTTTCTGGGTTTTCTTAAGGTGTTAAATATCACTACGGTAAAAGCATGATTAGGCAATAATGCTGACATCAATAAAAATGTAACATATCAAGTAACTCAAGTGTCAAGAGATAAGATCTTCTGCCTTAATTTAGCCCTCCAAAACACAAACATCAAGCAAGCAAGAGATGTTCAAATAAGGTATGAAGAGCACTTGGAAAACGATTTCTTCAACATAAGCAAAAGTTATGTTCTATTGTTCTTAACAGTGATGACCTAAAACACTAGGAACCTGTCCCACGTTTAAGCGCTGCCTGAAGCCGAGTCATTTTTATCCATTGTTTCTGAAAACAATCTGAACTCTATTTTTATTTAGAAGAATGGAGTGCTGAACTTTATTTCCTCAAACGGAACACTTTCATACAGCTTTTTGTGTAATACTTACTCAAATATGGTGGTTTGTAAGGCGCTCGTGTATTAGACAGCAGTCCATCCAGATCTTTCCTCTCCAGAGTGCTGTGAAGGGCCTTCTCTTTGCCAAAGGTGGAGAAAGACCTCTCTGCCCCAGGCTGGGCTTCTGGAGTTTCAAACACCTCAGTGTCTGGAACAGAGTCCATGCCGGGAACATGCAGATTACTGCGGTAATCAGCAGCCTGACGTCCATCAGAAGGGACAAAAGAAGGCATCCAGCACCGATCTGAGTGGCCTAGAGCCTTACATTCCTCAGTGCAGTTGGAGAAGAGATCCATACCTTTTAGAAGAAAAAAGAAAGAAACTACAGATGTAGGGCCTCAGCAACACGACTGGTTGTTTAGAGATGAAAGATAACAGGTTACACAGTGATAGGTGAAGATGTCTTAACAAATCTTTCTTGTCTTAATGTGATAAACCAAAACCAAACCAAACCCACTGCTGTCGAGTCGATTCCAACTCATAGGGATCCTAGAGGACAGAGTAGAACTTCCCCATAGGGTTTCCAAGGAGCGGCTAGTGGATTTGAACTACCGACCTTTTGGTTAGCAGCCAAACGCTTAACGACTGGAAGACAAAAATCTCTGTATTGTTTTGTTCATCACTTTTAAAAGAGAAAAAGATCCGCAATGGCAAAGATATGAGTCCTCTGCCAAAGAGATAATGTTTCTAAACTACTCAGGGTTTTGATAAGAAATATTGGAGGTCAATTATTTAAATAACTAGAAAGTCATGAGCACAAGAATGAACATTTTAAAAAGTCGCTTGTGAAGTTCATAACAGAGAAAAAATAGTGTAAAACCTTCACAAACAATAATTTGTAATGATGATAGGTCATCTGACATTTTTTTTCTTAGAGTCAAAAATATGCCAAGCACTAGCAATGATATTTAGATTATGAAATCTGGATGTGAAACTCAACAGAACTACTGCATAAGCATTGATAAATCAGTAAATAACAAGAATGAAATAAGATTTATGAGTAGACAACAACATGCTTTCCTAGATTCCTAGGAAATGACTTCTTAAAGGGTATTTCTCAATGACACTCTGATACTCTGTATTACTACAAACCACTTATCATTTACCACCTTAGATAAACCCAGAACAAATGACTGTAATTAGTGAAACAAAGGTAACCAAGTGTAGCGTGAATCAGCTGCAGATACTATTGACAAATACCTTATTACTATTTCTATATTGGAAAACACTTGTCCCAGTCAACGCAGAACTGTTTGCTTACTAATCCTCTAGTATCAAGAATACAAATGACAACTTCAGATTCTATTGTCTTCCTTTGATTGACAAGACTACTAAATATTATCTGATTATGATGTAAGAAAGCTTATTCAGTTTCTTAAGTAAGGCATAACAATTTCTGACCACTATAAAGTACTATCTGATATTTATTTTGATATTTAGCACTATGCAGAAAAGCAAGCACATAAACAAAAATAGTATTTTAATGTTTTTCTAGATAAAATAACATATTTATTAAATATGTTTTAGAAAAAGAACAATTTGAAATAACCAAAGTTATGATTAGTCTGTACAGGCCCGTTGCTGTCCAGTCAATTCCGACCCATAGTGACCCTACAGGGCAGAGTAGAACGGCCCCATAGAATTTCCAAGGAGCGGTTGGTGGATTCAAACTGTGGACCTTTTGGTTAGCAGCCAGGCTCTTAACTACTGCTCCACCAGGGCCCCAGTTTGTGCAGAAGAAACTCTCATATCCGTGTCTAGTATGGAAATCTAGGTTTTGTTTAATAAACAGTAAGATTTATTTAATGACGATACTGATATTTCTTTTGTAAATATGATGAGAGACTTGAGCTCTTGAGCAAGTTTTGATTTTCAAATTCTTACAGTATTCTGTCATTCTCTGCATATATATGTTAATATCTCTGTATATAAATAGAGAAAATATGTTTTCAAAATTATGAACACTCTACACAAGTATTTTGGAGTTAAGAACAGTGAATTAGGTAAATTATTTAAAAAATAACATCCATCTTTTTTATCATACATTAATCTTTATAAAGACTTTTTTATTTTAAATTAAACTATGTATAATGCCAAGTCCGACTTTGTTTATAACATTCCATTGATAACTGCCATGCATAAGCCTGGAAATAAATTACTGATCAGTGAACTGCTGAGGAAAGTAGACGTGAGCTGAAGCTGGGATTAAGGAAACAGACTGAAAACAGCATGTAAAACATGTAAATATTTCACTAGACAAAGAGAAGTTTGGTCATTTATCCTATTTTTGCAAAAAGATATATAGAAAATAGAAGAATGGAAAATGTCCCTGATACACATTTACATGCTAGATGGAGAGAGATTATGGAACCAGAGAGGAGATTTTCATTTTGACACACTGTACTGCAAAATTTCCTAATTACAGTATGATGCTGGGGCGGGGGGAGGGATTTTTTGATAGATGCAATTTTCTTTAGTGGAAAATTTTTTATGAATGATTGTTTGTTTTCAAACTAAAATTAAATTACATTACAATTGTAAAGTTGATAGAATTCAAGTTCTAAGACAGAATTGTTTATTGAGCCCCGCTAAAGATGGGTACGAATATAAAATTTGGAATTAATACAATTTTCCTCACATGATGGATAGTATTTTAAATATACCACATAAGACCATACACAATCTTTCACATTTTTTTCTACACTATGTCCAAGTATTCTTTGAATTTTTATATGTTAATTTTCCACACCAAAAAATTTTAATAAACTAGTATCTAAACATTAATATAAAGATGTCATTTGATTATGTTAGATGGTAGTTTTAGTATAACTTGTTTTCACACATCGCTTATACTCAGGTCTGCCCATTTCCCTCTCTTGCTAGTGTATGATTTTCTGCCATCCTTAACTACTAGAAGCTAGTTAAAATTCCCTTAAAATTGGTAACAAAGTTCTCATGAGTTGAAAATCTATAGAAATATACATATGTATATCATATGCATACCAAGGGAAGTGAGAAATATGTTAAGGTTTCTGTGTTGGAAGAACAGACTGCAACTCGGAAGAAGGAAAAAAAAACTTGTAAATAATATTCTTGATAAACGTATACATTAATGATTTTAAGATGGAACTGCCATAGTAATAATATACAGCTTTATGTAATTAGAATGAAAAGTAAGGTGGCTCAAATTGTGCATGAATTTTTTCATCAGTTTTACTGATAAAACAAATGCATTTATCTCTCACTACGAAAGTATCAAAAAAAATAGCAAAAAATCCCCTTAAAAGACATATAATACAGATAGCAAATCAATAAACTAATAAGTAACAGAAAAATTAATTGAAAATGGATCGTTTTCATTTGTCTTTTAGATATATAGTTTGCAAATCAAACAGCTTCACCTTAGGGAACTATCGTACTACCAATGATGTTTTATCTTTTATCATCTATCACTAATCCTATTAAACATATTACTTTAATTAGTAAATAAGCTGAAATACATTTGTTTTGTTGTCATACGTGACTGCATGATGCACAGGGATGCCAGATAATACAGTACATTTTACAAATTAAATTGCATACTTTTCACATTGCTTCTAATTTTTAATGGCATGAATTGAAGGCCTAAGAGAAAATAAGTTGGACTTTTTTTTTTTCCTCATTCAAATACTCTTGCCATAGAACCAGTGGAATTTATATAACAGGAAAATATAGGGCTACCCTCTTTTCTGAAATTTTAGTAATTTGTAAGAAATGTTTCAATGTATGTATTTTTTTACTTGCAATCTCTTTTCTTGGTTATTTATTTTTTTGGCAGGGCACTTTGCAGAAATAATCTGCTCTGCAAGAAATGACAGCTGACGTGATAGACTGCCTGTTATGCAAAGATATATTTAGACAAATTTTAAAATACATATTTTCAAATGGTAAGTATCTTGTCCCTTACTGTCAGAGGCAATGGGTATTACCATTTTGAACAAACTGTTGTTTCAAAACTATTAGAACTGTATTCAATGTGTGCTATTTTCTAATCAATGTCATAATATAAAATTAAGTGTATATTTTTCCCAAGCAACAAGCCTTCATAAAAATGCTTTTTTTTCCTCCAACCAAATATGACAAAATAATTTTAAAAGAAGTCAACACTCTTCATTTTTTGAGGAAGTTTCCAGTCTTGCTTTTACCTACTTAAAACTGGACAACTAAACTCGGTGTCCTTGAGTTGATTGCAACTCAGAGCAACCCTTTAAGGACAGAGTAGAACTGTCCCATAGAGTCTCCAAGGAACACCTGCTGGATTCAAACTGCTGCCATTTTGGTTAGCAGCTGTAGCACTTAACCACTATGCCACCACGGTTTCCAGGACAGCTAGGAGATATTAATTTTAACCTTGAATGCTGCCATAATTTTTAGGAAAATCTTTCTGAGCAGAAAACTCTCATGATCATTCACTAATAAAAAGATCAAAACATTTTCTCCCTACCTATCGTCCTTCCAAATGTTTCCATTTTTATCCAATTTCTCTCAATATTTTGTCAGATATTTTGTCCTATTATAAATCTCTCCACATTATCAGACTGTAGCTCAGAGATTCACCAGAAACCTGTAGAGGCTTTTTCAAACACAGCTGTAACTTTATTTTGAATCTATAAACCCAGTAGCCAGTTTGCCAGTATGTAAATTCTTACTGGAGTTGGGAATGGTAAGTTAGTATTTTATGTTTGAGCCAAGAATTTTCTTTCTGGTATTTTATTAGTGCAATGGGTTAACGCAATTCAAGACATACTTTATCTTTATCTGCTAATTTGATAACATTGGCGATTCATATCACTTTGTTATTTAATTTATAGCTAAATTTTAACCCTGTATGATGTATAAATCAAGTAATAATTAGTCAAGAACTAAATACATTTATAAGCTAAATTCTCTTATAACTGAAAGAAAAATTCTAAGAAGAAAAATTTTAAAATTTTCAGGTAGACTCTGTTAAATAAGAAGCAACATTAATTGAATCATTTATTAGAGTTCTCTTTTTCAACATATTTTTAAAAAACTACAAAGTATTATGAACAAATTCATAATTAATCTCAGTAATATGTACATTGTCCATATTTAATAAATTAAAAAAATTGTTTCTAGCTAATAAACAGATCTCCTTTGAATAGCTCCACTAATACTAAAAATGTTTAAGAATATCCAACTATGTTTATATTGAATAATGTTTTATCAGTATTCTTTGTTAGAAAAAATATCTTATAATCTGATGACATGATTTGAAAATTCTGAATTATGACAAAATAAGCAAAATTGGAAACATTTTTAAAGTCCACTCTGACTTACTTAGCCACTTAAAGCTGTGATTAATCAGTTTTTCCTCTTGTGATGGTTTATGCATGCGTTTACCACATCTTCTTGGACTTCTGCCATATCTAACCAATACATCAATAATGTGTTGAAAAAAACGGAAAGCACCTTGACAAGGCTTTAGAAAGAAAGTGCCACAGAGCAGTGGTCAAGCCGAAGCACTTCACACATGGAGCCAGGTGCAGGGGAAAACTGAAAAAGCTTATGTAATTCTCTCTGCAGCTGCCTCTGTGTTTAAAGCCCTTCTATGAGCAGGATTGGTGACTTCAAATGGCTTAAAAAGGAGAAAAGCAAGAAGGGGAGGAAAGAAAGAAAAAAAAGAAAACTATTCATAGACAAATAAATAGAAGGCATATCTAAATAAATAGATACAAGTGATGCTAACAAAGAAAAAGCAAGTGAGAATAAAGAAAAAGTTAGGAAGTTTAAACAGGTGAAACACTAAGATTAAATAGTATATACAATGTAGTATGGAATAAGGTGCAAACTAAGAGAGTTTTCAGACCAATATCAATATTTTTACAGTATTGTTTTGTTTTGTTTTTCTTCCCCCTTGATAATGTAACATTTTCTCCCACCTAAAACCTAGCTGAGTGGAATCTGCTAATTACTATTTTTTTCCTCCTAACCTGGAAATAGATGCTTTATGAATAATATTTCCTAAGTATGTTGATTTGGAAAATCATTAATACCTGATCTTACAAAGAAATAAAACAGATTTTGTACCTATTTATCTAAAATGGGCTTTACTTTTTGGAATATTCGAGCTGCTGGGTGTGAGTTTACAGTACACAATATCAGTGTGGACTAAAAAAAGTCATTAAGTAAATGCATTTTAATTCTCTGTATTTAGGGTTTTATACTGAAAAAGAAAACATTTCAAAAGTACTCTTACAATAAAATTAGACATAGTAAATCTGACTGCAATTCAGCACACAAAAGTGCCATTACTTCTTAATATAAGTGTATTATTACAATCCTAAAACAGCTATTATTGTGCCCAGCAGGTTGTGGCTGCCCTGTAACTGCTAATCAAATACATAAATAGATTGGTAATTCGGAAATACTTTTACATGTTTCCCTGTAACTGCTAATCAAATACATAAACAGATGGGTCATTCTGAAATACTTTTACATGTTTAAGAATTTAAAGACTAAACATTTCTCCATTTTTATAAAGAAAAATACAGACACTGTCTTTTTGTAAATATATCTGGAGCAACACATTTTAGGATTTTCTCATTTCTTTAAATGCTTTGCCATCTCAAATAATTTGAAAGAACCCACCAAAGCGGTAACAGTGAGTGCCTATAAAAGAAAATAGCTACTAGTAAGATGCATTGATCAGAATATATTCCCATTTATTGTCCACATTTGGCCCCTTTTGCAGATGTTTATTCATTTCTCTTTCTTTGGTTAGGTTATTACGGCTCACTATGTCTGAGGGACTAAACTAATTGAAATGTTCATTGAGATTGGAGTGCTACAGAAAACCGAGGGGAGGCGTGGTGGGCAAGGAATAAAACGAATCCAAGGAAACATGCAGCAGGTCCTTTTTTTACATATATATTAAGCATTTTGTTTTAAAGTTGAAAGACTAATAAATTAGAAACTCTGAAAAAAAAGAATGGGAACGAGCAATTCTAAACGTACAGCTTTTAAAAGATAACAATAAATCATATGCCATATATAGGCCAAAAATGAAAGGGACTTTGTACTCAAATATAAACTTCTGGCAAGATCTGGTTTGTTGTCAGTTTCCCAGACACTAAATAGATGCTCTGTTCACTTAGCGTGAGGGCCCGCAAGGGGCAAAGACCTCCGGGGATTCTTGGCAGTTCTCAAGTCTCATTAGGTCTGCATATTAATGACTTGCAGCAATATAAAGAGACCCTTGAGCAGCCTTTTTTCCCCTTCCTCCTGCCTGGGTTTCCCAAGGCTAAGAGCAGCCGCACACACAGCACACATTAGCCAAGTGAGAGACTTGCAGCAACCACTGCTGCCAGGCGACCATGGGGCGTCCACTGCCCTTTGACACACTGCCTCAGCACCATTCAAAGGTCCAGACAGTGTGTTAAGGAATGGTGCTCTCGAGGACCAAGGCTACCTTGAAAATGAGGGCCCTGTCACTCTATGGTTATATCACTAACCAAAGTAAAGGTCAAATCTCAAGGGAACTGAGTTTAACTCAGAGATAGGCCAATGATGGACATGTTTAGAAGTTATAGAAGTTGATCTGCCTTTCCAGGTCGTTATGTGTCAGAGAAATACAAAACTAAATAGAATAAGTAAATATGAAAAACTAGGTATATATTTTATATCTTTTGTTTAGTTTTAATACTAGTAATCAGAGTTATAAGGATACTATAAAACTTAAAGGTTAAAGTTATATAGAGGAAAATTAAGTAAACAAAATAAATAACAAAGTAAAATCAAATAATGGAAAATATACATATCACATTGCCTCTCCCATCAGTGATTATCATTGATATACACAAGTTCAACTTTTGTCAGGTGATTGACCGTGTTGAAAATATGAGGAAATTGAGGACCTTTCAGAAAATATACATTATCTTATGTTTACTTATGCCCTGAACCCCAAGGACCTAAAATTAGAAATACTGCTTTCAACCTATTTGTGACTTTTAATCACTATTCTTTTTCACATTCCATTCAGTACTTTTTGGAATACAAAATGCATTGCTCTGAAAAGCAAAATATTTGGATTCTAGTCCCCAGTCATCCATTTATGCTCTTGTGACCTTATGCAGGTCAATCAATTTTATTCATCTTCAGTTACCTCATTCATAAGCAAGGCTAATAATATATTAATTTACTAAAGACTGGGCATTGGACCAGGTGAAAGCCCTATGGCTCTTTGAATGCAGTAAAATTCCATTAAAGAACATTACATATAGAAGAAACTTTTCATATTTTAATATACTCAACAATTAATTTCGAACTTTAACTCTCCAACCAATGAAGGTTAAATAGTTAAATTTTTAAAATCCTCTTTGAGTGTATGACTATCTGCATAAGATAGTACCATCTTTCTGTAATGTTACCAAAAAATTATCTACAACACTATTGTTTTCAGATTTTTTTTTAAACAAAATTCAGCATTTAGATTGCCCTTTGATCACACTCACACTTACCAGCTGACTGGCCGCGGTTGGTGGCATCATGATCACTATCTCCCTGCTCACTGTCTCCATGACCACTGTCCTTAGAGCTTACTATGTCAGCTTCCTGGAATGCAGAACTAGGAGTACAAAAATGTGAATATTAGAATAAAAAAAAAAAGAGTGAAGAAACAGAAAATATTCTTCTGCCACCATATGGTCACAGATGGTGCTGCATTCTCATAGACCTCAGCTGGCTTTCTTTCTGCATAAAGTTAGTTTTCATAACCTACACCTAACTCTTCAAATTTGAGCGTTAGCAGTCAGTTTGAATGCTGACTCACATATTTAGGCATTATTCTTTGATTGGAGCTAAGTGTATGTTATATTATTATCATAAAACACAGATGTAAATATACATCTGGAAGAGTTAGGAAGACTATCAGAAGAAGTATAGGAGTGTAAACTGATAAAATATCTAAATATTTTAGTAAATTATAAATAAATGAAGCACATCCATCTTTTAATGTATTGTCTAGCAAAACCAACATGATCAATAGTTATGGCCTGTCTTAATCAGAAAAGCTTCATAAATTTTTATATTTTAATATCTGATAATATACCTACTTGCTGACTTTGCTAGGTAGTACAATGTCCATACATCAAGCTAGGAAAAAATGTCCATACCTGTTAACTCGCCGAGGTCTGTCAACTAGATAGCTGAGCTCTGCTCGCTGGTGTTTAGTCTAGGAAAAAAAAATAAATAAATCAAGAGCATTTGAATAGTAAGAGTCTAACTAATAGTCTCCTCTTGAGTTGGGCACGATAACTAGCTTAAGTAATTGTGTACAGTCTTATGAATTTCCAAGCTCACCTAACACCTCTGTCTAATGATTGCTGGGTAAGGGAGATATGCAGGCATCAGCAAAGAAACTTTAATCTATTTTTCAGTCAGTTGGAAAGGAAAAACAAAACAACAACAATACTTTTTAAATTGCAGAAATACAGGCTGACTTTAGTTTTTTTGTTGTTGTTGAGAGAATGCAAATGACCTCATAGTTAGTGCTCATAAACTATAGTCTCTAACCGAGTCAATCTAGCTATACTATGCGGTCTTTTAGTAGCCTAAAAAAGTGTTTCGGTGCATACTGGTAGACACAAGAAAAACAGCACGCTCAATAAGAAAAAAAAAAGTTTGGATATTTCATGGAATTATTTTGTTGTTTATTTTCAAAATGTGTTTAAGATACAAATGAACTGTACAAATATTCATGAAAGTCAAATAATAATGTCTAATACTCAAATAAATAAAATAACCTGCCAAGAAAAGAGTTCATAACCCTCCCCCAATTCTTTCCCCTCCAAAAGCCCTCTGTATTCTCCTCCTCCCTCCACCACCCACATACCTTTTCTAGTCCAAACTTTCTTTTACATAAATCAACTTTGTTCTCCACCCTTCTCCAACTTTGCCACTTCTCCATCTTTTAAAGAGAAATCGGAATTGACAAGCCAAATTATTTGATGAAGAAAGTCAACAGCAGAGATTTATCAAAAAACAGTGGCAAAAAAGGTGATGATTGGGTAAAAGATATATTTAAGACAACAATTGTTTAAGCCTTTTGTTAATTTACTCTTACAGGGGTTTGTGCCAAAGCAACTTCATTCAAATTCACACTGTGTGGGCATTCAGCTTCAAGAGCGTCTGTAAATGCTGTCCAGAGAAGAACTGAAGGCTTTTCTGCAACCCGAGTTCAGAGAACAAGGATCTGATAACTCTTCACTAAAACATGCATTTGAATTTAGACAACTGTGTAAAGTTAAAACAATCTATAGCTTACTTTTACACGAGACTGAAAGCATCGATAAACAAAGCAAAATAGAATCAACTTTATTAACGCCTGGGACAGACCAAAAAGAAAAAGATCTTTGCCAGAGTGCTAGAAAGTCGCTACTCCGCACTCTCCCGCCCTCCCCGCCCTTTCCACTTTACCCCAAGGTTTCTGAGAAGGGAAAGTACTGACAGGAGGTTCGAATTTTAAAGGAAAGATGGGAGAGGGAGCTCTAAAGTGACAAAGCACCAAGGGGAGGGAATGAAAGTAAACGTGGAGAGGTGGAGCGCAGAGGATTAGAAACAACACGTAGGTTACACAAGAAGGGGTGGCAGAGGGTGATCCCCCATCCCCGCCCCCACAACGATACAAATAAGCTAATACTCTAAAAATAAATACACAGTGCACCAGAGATACAAGGGCCGGGCTAGAGGAGGCTCTCAGATGGAGGAGATGAGAGATGGTGGTCCTTTCGCTTCAGCCTTACCTCGTTGGACAAAATGCTTCCATTGGAGATGATGTCGGGCTGCTGGTCGGTGTAGCCGGTGACTATGGCCCCGCAGGGGTTGTGCTCAGTGTCCGTACTCCGAGAGGGGCTGCAGGGCTTAAGGAACATCAGATCGGTCTTGGCGGACTCTGGGGTCAGGCAGACCTGGTAGCAGTAATTCTGGTTGTGGTGGTGGGAGCCAAAGCCCCCGGACTCCTCTACAGGCACCTGGGCCGGGTTACTGGGTACGTTTGAGCTCTGTACCAGCATGATGTCGGACTTACTGAGTTTCTTCTTGCGCGCCCGGGCTTGGCGGCCGCAGCAGGTCGAGCCCCCACCGCCGCAGCAGCAGCAGCAGAGGCAGCAATCGCTGGCCAGACACGTGTAGATGTTGAGCTTTTTCTCCTTTTGGCAACGCACGGCCAGCACGATCATCGCCAGCAGGAAGATGAAGGACACTGAGCCCAGTGCGATAATGAGGATGAGGGTGAGGTCCAGTGAGGTCTCCCCGCCACCAGAGCGGCTGGGGCGTTGATGCTCCCCCGACCCCCCACCACCGCTCCCACCCCCTCCCGGGGGTTCCACGGCGCCATCCACCAGCTGCACCACCAGAGTGGCTGTGGAGGACAGGGGCGGCTGCCCGTGGTCGCGCACCTCGATCACCAGCTCGTAAGGCCGCTGGGGGTCGCGCTTGGCTGGCACCCGGCGCGCTGTGCGGAGCTCCCCGGTGCGCCAGTCCATGCGGAAGAGGTTCATTTCGTTGCCTCGCACGATGCTGTAGGTGAGTCGGGCGTTCTCGCCGTCATCCGCGTCCACCGCGGCCACGCGGGTGAGTAGGTAACCCGGCTCCGCCGAGCGGGGCAGCACCTCGCGCGCTGGAGTCCCGTTGCGCCCTGGGAGGGGCGCCACGATGGCAGGAGCATTATCGTTCTGATCCACGATGAGGATGTTGACCGTGGCGTTGCCCGCCAGCGCCTGGGGGCTGCCGGCGTCCCTCGCTTCCACCTGAAAGCTGAAGTCCTTGAGCTGCTCATAATCGAAGGAGCGCAGGGCGTACAAGTAGCCGTTCTCGGAGTTGATGGACACGTAGGTGAAGACGCTCATGCCCTGGATTTGGCACTCGAGGATGGAGTAGGCTATCTGGGCGTTGGCACCCTCATCGCGGTCCGTGGCGCTCACCGCGTAAATGTAGGCTCCTGGCACGTTGTTCTCGGTCACATACACGTCGTAGACAGGCTGGCTGAAGCGTGGCGCATTGTCGTTCACATCTGACACTTGCACCTGAATCGACTTACTAGTGGAGAGCGCCGGCTCGCCCCGGTCCCGGGCCACCACGGTTAGGGTGTAGGAGTCACCCGCCTCTCGGTCCAGGGGGGCCTCAGTCACGATAGTGTAGTAGTTCTTGAAGGAAGACTTGAGGCGGAACGGCACGTCCCCCAGCAGCTCACACTGCACCTGCCCATTCTCCTCGGAGTCGCGGTCTGTCACGCTAAACAGGGCCACCACTGTGCCGGGCGCGGCGCCCTCGCTCACTGCCTCCTTCACGGTGCTGAAACTGATCTCCGGCGCGTTGTCGTTAGCATCTAGCACTCGCACTAGCACCTTGCAGTGCGCGGGCACGGCGTTGGGGCCCAGGTCTTTGGCTTGCACGTACACTTGGTACACCGGGCTCTCTTCATAGTCCAGCTCGCCGCTCACCTCCAGCCGGCCGGTGCGCGGAGAGAGTCCGAAGAGCTCCCGCGCCCGGGGCGAGATGTGGCTGCTAAAAGAGTACACAACCTCGCCGTTTTGGCCCTCGTCTGGGTCCGTGGCGTTGAGCTGGATCACGAGCGTGCCCGGGGGCGAATTTTCTGGTAGGGACACAGTGTAGACGGGTTGGTCGAAGGCGGGCACGTTGTCGTTGGAGTCTAGCACTCGGATGGTGAGTAGGGCTGTGCCGGTGCGCTGCTGCTGGGGGGGCAGGCCCCCTCCCCCGCCGCCGCCGCCGCCTCCTTCTCCTCCTCCTCCCCCGTCCACCGCGGTCAGCACGTAGCGGTGCACCGCTTGCTGCTCTCGGTCCAAAGGCTTCTCCAGCACCAACTCGGCGAATCGGTTGCCATCCCCCTGGGTCTGCACGTCCAGGGAGAAGTAGCTGTTGGGGGTGATCTCGTAGTCGCGCAGGGAGTTGGTGCCCACGTCTGGGTCGAATGCGCTCTCCAAAGGGAAGCGGGTGCCTGGCGTGGCGCTTTCGGATATCTCCACCGTCAAGTCCGGCTCTGGGAAGGAGGGGGGGTTGTCATTGATGTCTAAGACCTCAATCTCCACCCGGAACAGTTCCAGGGGGTTCTCCAGGAAGACCTCTAGGTGCAGGACGCAGGAGGGGCTCTGCTTGCAAATTTGCTCGCGGTCGATCTTTTCGTTCACGTACAGCACCCCGGTCTCCAGGTTGAGGTCCAAGTAAGGGGTCCTTGAGTTGGGCACTGTCTGAAACCTCCGAGCTGAAAGTTTTGTAATGTCCAAGCCCAGATCTTCAGCGATATTCCCCACGAAAGTGCCATGTTCCTGCTCCTCCTGCACCGTGTAGTGAAGCTGGGAAAATACTCCCTCCACCATCCAGAGCAAGGCAAAGAATAATAGCACAATCATCTCCAAAGGGAAAGGAAGCAGCTTCCCGCAGCCAGTCAGCCACCCAATCACCTCCCCCACCACCACGAAAAAAAAATCTCAAAAAAAAAACAAAAAACAAATAAAAGTGCGCTACGTGGGGGGGGGGGGGGGGTTCCTGTGGCTTTCTGTCTTTAAAAATCTTATTCCTTTTGCTTCATTTTAGGGCTTCCCCTAATCCAACCTCATTTTTCAATCTTAGCGCAGGAAGGGTGACAGGCGTCCCCTTTCCTCATCTGTAATCTTCCCACTGACCAATTAATAAAATAATGATAATACAATAGTCAGCGTCCTTTACTCCCACAGTCTTGGCGCAACGCGGCGCTGGCAAATCCCAAGGAGGAAATTTCGGTATTTCAAGTCTGTCCTCGGTTTGTCTTCTTGCTGATGGGAGGAGGAGGAAAAGAAAGAGGAGAAGGAGGAGGAAGATGAAGAGGAAGAGGAGATGCTGCTGGAACCGCTGAACATGCCTCTTAATGTCAACGGCTGGCAAATGCAAAAGGGCTTAAAAACAGCGAAAGAATTTTGTGCCGAAAAAGCACAGAACGGCTCTGCAGCATAAAACTTTCATTCTCTTCATTTCTCCGGATGAATGTTCTTCTTGGCATTTTTGCCTCTATTTGTATTTTTTGGCTTTCATAGTCTTGTCTTTCTCTGTCCTCATGTCCACCGTCATTTCCCTGTTAGTATAAGCAGTTTCTTGTCTGTTGTTTCCTTCCCAAGACTCTTTCCCTCTAATCTGTCTCTCTCCCTTCCAGTCCTTCCTCCCTCCTATCTCAGCCTCAGAACCTGTGATCTCCGCTAGCAGTTTCTGAGCTCCGAGCGCTCGGCTTCTCCGTTTTTGTGCAGCGCCCTCATTTTGCCAACCAGTCGCTGAGAAGCACCACCCACCGAGCCGCCGCTGATTGGCCACTGTGGCCGTCAAGCAGGAGCGTCACGCGGCAGCCGGGCGGGGCGGGGCCGAGCCGGCGCTTGGGCGACCCGGGTGAATGTGAGTGTGAGAGCGAGAATAGCCCGGCAGGTCCCGAGGTGCTAGCTGGGGACTCTGCCGCGGAAAGTTCAGTCCCCAGCCGCAGGTAATGGGGAGGGAATAGAGAGGTTCCCCTGTTTGCATCAGCAAATGCGAAAACTTAATAATAACAGCAGCAGTATCGTCACCCAGGAGCGGGATTTCCAATGATGCTAACATTCTTTTTGCTTTAAGGTATTTTCCCACCTCCGGATCGTGGAAATAAATCACCGCGAGGGGGGAAAAGTTGCAGAAGAGCCACTAATTGACCGGGGTTACTAATTAAAGGACTCTGGCTGAAGTTGCCAGAACATTTAAAAAAAAAAAAAAAAGGATGCAAATGTGGCATGTGCCAAAATAAGCGTGAGGGTCTGAAGGGGCTGCGTGTAAAGCAGTTAGGGTAGGGGGCGGAGATGGATCCTAAGAAGCCGAGGGACTCGCACCAAAGGATGTGCTCTGGCCGCTCTTACAGATTTCATGCGTTAGACGTGCCTTTTCCTTCCATAAATGCATAGCCACAAAATTCTTACCCAATAGATTAACTCGCTTGGAGACCTAGCTTTGAGCTGTGAGCTCTTTGATAAATGACCGAGGAGTTTCATTTGAGCCTGCCATCCTAGCGCCGGGCTGGGCGAGCACAGGGCACCGAGCCCTGCGGGGCGCTGTGAAGCGCCTACGTTATCCTTGAGCGTTGCGCGGCAAGTGTTCCGCGGCGGTGGAGTGGACAGGCTATTTTCTGCTTTTTTCTGATGATTGGAGATGCCCCCTGCCCCCCACCCCCAATGCTAAGCGGAGGCTCCGATTCCTGCCCAGGCCGGGGTCAGGCCCCCGGGGCCAGGACAGCAAGGCGGCAGCAGCCGCGGGCGGGGCGGAGCACACGGGTGGTGCACACGGCGGTGCACACAGGCGTCCGAGTGTGTGTGGCTGCGCGTATCAGCGAACGCACTTGCACATGTATGCTGCTCTCATTGGTCCTTTCTATCTCCACGCACAGTTCTGTGTAAGCCCCAGTGGAGCCTCCCTCGGTCCCTAACGGTGGGCTTGGAGAGCAATGAGTGTGCACTCCCGACGCGCGGGGGCAACGCAGTGGATCCACACACCCAGTTCTTGTTAAGTTAAAATATAGCACCGAACTCTTCAGATCTAGAGAGTGGTTTGAATATCTACTTTCCAAGAAAATATATTTTATATTAATTAATAAGCTGTTCGCAAGGACTGGATTGTTTATTCACTAAAGCAGCCCCTGTGTAGTCTCCTTCTTATGCCGCAAGATAGGGAGGTTCCTTGTGACTTCCTGGTAATGAATGAATGACCCGAGAGTTAACACCGCCACAACCTGTAGGAAAAAGAGAGTCGTTTCTCTGACCTCAAGGTACGTTGCCATTCCCTCCCCTCAGGGAATTAAGCCGGACAGTGTCCGAGGGCGTGATTGTAGACCGAGGCAAGCCCCCGTGAGTCCGTGAGTGCTTGTCTGCTACTCTTCCCCCTCCCCACCATCCCCCTTTCCTGGAGATAGGTACTGCCTTTGAGCGGTTAGAAGGAAAGGATGCCAGCAAAAATGGCTAATCCTTTTCCAGCTGCAGTAAATTGACTGGCCAAAGCCAAGCGAAAACCGCTGCGGTTAAAATGATTTCAGCATCACGTCTGCGGCTGAGAATGGAGCGGCAGTTTATAAAAGGACCTGTGGATCCTTGAAAAGGAGATTATAGTGTATCTGAATATTAATACGGCATTACATCTCTACTTTATACCCCTCCTCCTTTCTTTTTCTTCATTTCTGCAGGATTGAAATGAAATGTTTTGAGCTCTTCAAGCTGAGTCATCAGAATCCAGGAGCATTTTTAAAATGACGGTAATTTTCTAATGTGTTCGTTTGTATGTCTGGAACTCGTGTGTGTGTCTGTGTATGTGTGTGCGCGTGTGCGCGCGCCTGTTTTGCGCGTGAGAGACAAACGGCTGAATGACAATGCAGATCCAGAAATTGTTTGGGGAAAGGGGTTTCTGCTCTAGAAATGTAGATGAGCTTAGAGCTGACTTGGGTCATTCGCTGAAACCAGGGAGCTTGCAGAGGCAGGGATGAGAACAAGAAGAGATGGCCAGATTTGCCTGTAAATAATCACTATGTCCACTGTAACACTTGAGCTGCTGCATTTTTTTTTTTTTTTTTTTTGGTAGCAGATGTGGTTGAATGGGACTCTCTCCGCAAACGTGGGTTACAGGCGTCTCCTAGCGGCGAAAAGAGCACAGGGCAACGAGAGGATTTTGCTTAGGAGCGCTCGCTCGGCAGGGCTCGCCTGTTGGGGGCTCTGCGGGATTTCTTGGGTCGCCGAGGCCTGTGTCCCCGCCGGCGACGCCCGGCCCAGATCCTCTGGAGGTCTCGCCTCTCTGACTTCCAGTCTCCACGGCGCCGGCCTGGGACTGGCGGGTTGACGGCGCGGTCTTCTTCCGGGGAGCACAGACCTGAGCAGAGCCCTCCACCCGCTGCTAGGAAGCTCCAGCCAAGGTCACTTGCAAGAATATTTTGTTTAGAGCGAAGATTCAGATACTGGCATTAATAGCCTTCTCTGCCTACTTACCTTGGAGCCACTAAAACAACCTAACCCGGTCCCTCACCAAACAAAGCAGCGCTTTAAACTTGCCTTTTTAAAGATGCCTCTTAAATGTAATCGGTTTACTTTCTACCCTGCTGTGGTATTCGAGAGATTTTTCTCCACTTTCCTTCCTGTTTCTTTTTCACTCCCCCTCTGATCCCCAGAACTTAGAGAGGCCTTGGTTACATAAATAAAAGCCTCGTGGTGGGGTTGACGACCTCTTTGAAGTGAGGAAGATCAAGAAACCCCGCGCCCTCCTACCCATCTTTACTGTAGCGGGAAGGGAGAAGCAATTCCTAGCGCATTTAAGAAACCACCTCCGCTCCTCCATAGAGCGCCAACCACCTGGGCCAAAAGAAACTGTTTCCTAATAAAGAGGGAAGAAGCATTTTTTAAGGCGGGGCGGGGGGAAGGTTAGGCTCAAAATCAATTTTCATAAAAGTCCTGCTTGGTATCTGAGAGTGATAACGCATGTTCGTCTATTTCTTTGGACCAAGTGCCGCAGAAATGGGGTGAGGGACACTAAGGATCCTACAAATGCCTCTTTTATATACATAGTTAGAAACTTTGAAACTAAGTAATGGGGTTGCCTTCTTCCCTACCGTTTAATGAAAAGGGCGAGAGGCAAGCAAGTTTGTTAACCAGCGTTTGGATAAATGAGTGTTTGCAGTGGTTTAACATGACTGGAAAGCAATTTGTTTCTAAATCCTCTTATTATTGCAGTGTGCCCAGAGCTTTGAGAGAAGTTTTTTTTTTTCTTTTCTTTTTTTTTTAAGGAAAAAAAATTAAGATTGTCAATAAGGGACATTCCAAACGCTAGGCTCACCCAAGATTAAGCTAGATGGTTCCTGGCTTTTGTCATTCCTAGGAAGCGCAGACAGAGCAAATACAAAGAACCAGACTTCATTACATTTCTTATTGATACACACGAAATAGGTTTATTTGTAATGGTGTAACCTAACCTAACGTAAGAAGGAGCAGTGCCACAGACACTGAATTCGTTTTTATTCATCTATAGTAAAAAGTGAATGTTCACTAGAGTTTCTGGAAAAGATTATAGCATGTGCTATAATAAGCATTCAGGTAACCCTTTAGTTTCTGTGTTCTAATGTGAACCCAACAGAGAAAGAAGTAATTCTTGTTCTTGGAACTGAGAACACTAGATATTTCATTAAGCACCATTATCTTGATATTCACAGTAGAAATAAACTTACCCATTTTGTTTAAGCTGGTTAATATTGGTGTGGCTTCAAATTTCAGTGTCTTTTCAGTTATCAACAGGCCCAGCGTTTTGTTAAACTCTAAACAGTGAATTAAAAGCATTGATGAGCTGAAGCAACCCTCTAATGCAAACCGACAAATTGCACTTAAGCAATACATGGACAAGAAAATGATTTATGGATTTTTACGATGGTCTGAGCAAATGAAGGCAACATGAATTATACATACTAATGCTCACGATATCATTTTCTAATAATACTCTTTCAGTTCAGATGCTATACTCTTTTCCTTTCTATAAGAGATACTGATCAATAAGAGGTCCAGGGATATTTTTAAATTAGCAACAGTTTTTGATCCTGGTTCCAAATATATACATTGGAGAGGGCTCGTCGGGGGCGGAGGTGATGAACACTGACCATCCTTGCCATCTTTTTCACACACTGTCTCTTTTAATAGTAAAGAAATAGCTTTTTGGAAACTTTAATTTTTTACCATGCCACCTTTAGAAACGGAAATAAATAGATCTGATGTAGACTGACAATATTTATTACATCCTGACCTCTTTTTTCCTATGATCAAAATGCATTACTTCATCTTACCTTTTCATTCCATGGCTTTGGATATTGAAAAGTCTGATTCCTCCAAAATATCTCCTAACCTCATCATATTGTTTCATCCCATTTTTTTATAACATTGTTTTATTCCTTAGTGTGTTGTAGATGCATTGTAGGTAGTAAAAAGTTCATTTCCCTTCTTTTTTTTTTTTTGGCCTTAGTCGACAAAATAGATTGTATGGACTTTTTTTTTAAATTACAGAAAAAAAATAATAATCATATAAAACGTTATGTGGTGCTTTTGTTTGGATCTGAAAAATACAAAATTCTAGTTATTTCTGTGTTATGAAGAGTGACTACTCATAGCATTTTTTATTTAATCAGTTGTAGTTTGCATAAGTGAGTATTTTGGGGAAATGTGTAGACTTTTGAGGAGCCCTGGTGATGCACTGGTTAAGCACTTGTCTGCTAACTGAAAGGTTGGTGTTTCGAATCCACCAGATGCTCCACGGGAGAA